TACCACGTGTACCACACGAGGACAACTAACTTCGTCGACCCCCAGCCCAAGCTACAGTCCATTTCAAAACTATAGACGCGTACCTAGGCAAAAAACGTTTTGCCAGCATCTATACCACATAAAATCTGTGATCACTTTGTGCATAATTTTTTCCAAATTGGGCGTCTGTTATCCAATCGTTTAGAAACTATATGAGAGTAATTGTGGAGCGGACCTGAGCAATATTCCGAAAACTATTCTCAAAAAGTTCCAGCCAAATTTGAAATATTTCAAAAACCCTACGCGTCTATAGTTTTGAAATGGACTGTAGTAAACAGGGTAGAGAGTAGTACAGAGCGAATGTTGGAATGCCAGTGCCGAGCCGACATTTCGTATTGTCCCCCCCCCCCCCCCCCTGGATCCAGCTGCCGTGATGTATCATGAACAACATGTCTGCCGTGAATTTTACTATGCTAGAGGAATTTTGGCAGGATGTGATACTAGGTATGTCCAAGAATACTTTGTGGACCGCGTGGGAAGAAGTATAGGGGTGATGGTTGTGTAGGTCGTCAGTGCTGAGGGACTGGACTGTCTGCTTGTTGTTTGGAACCGTGGGCAAACTCTGTGTATATATGTATGTGTGTGTGTGTGTGTGTCTGTCTGTATGCTTGTGTGTGTGCGTGTGTGTGCGTGTGTGTGTGTGCACTGCTTGCTTGTCGTGTTACCAGGCGCTTCACGTTGACGGTAGGCCAGTATTTCTACACGTTCAAGCCGGTCTCCGTCCAGTGTATGTGGTAAGTACCGTATTTTACCGGTTGTAAGTCGACCCTGGTCATAAGTCGACCCCGTATCCGGAGGTCTCAGTTCTGCGTTTTAAAGTTTTCACCCAACGAAGCACTACTAACTACTCCCTGCTACTAACACATCAACAAATCATGTCAACATTCCTTATTGGAGGGTATAACGTCCCAATCCTTGAAAAAGGCCAATAAACTGGCACAAATGTGTACACCCGGTGCATTCGTACAATCGTGCATGCAGTGCAGGTCATTTTTTTTTAAAGATACCGATAGTTCCCGGTTATAAGTCGAATCCCGGTTGTAAGTCGACCCCCACCCTTTCTTCTTCTATTTTCAGTCGTGAAAGGTCGACTTACAACCGGAAAAATACGGTAACTTCAAGAGTATAATTATAACCCCCCCCCCCCCCCCCCCAAGAGTGTGCAACTCTGCATATGGGGTCTTCGACGGCGAAACTCACATCACGTGTCTCGGGTACGTTTCGTACTACGTACAAACGAAGGATAGCGTGCCTGCAATCCGAACATCTGCCATGATCATGCTGGGGATTTGCATACGCGCAGTGAGTTTCTGTCAGAGAGTGCTTTTTTTATTACTCCGCTGCTCGCTAAAAACGGCCTGGAAACGTACAACTGCGACACTACACCACGTGATATAAGCTTTTTAACTCCAGAACTGTTATGATTTGTTAAGTACAACTTGTATGCAGATCGGTTTAGATGGACAAAGCTTTCACATAAAAAAGACCAGACCGAATTCGGATAAAAAAAGTTGCCAAGTGAAGTGTTGAAAAACTTTTGTGTTCCATCAGAGCTGGCATCCAAAACATCATTATCGTCAAGAGAGCATCTTCCTCAGACGACGAGAGCAGGTCTGGCACTGTCAGAAACTGTGCGCCAAGTCTGCAGCTTCTTCTGCCGTCAGGAAACGTCCTGGACGACAAGAAGACCCGCGTCTTTCTCAACAAGAAACTTTTTTGAGAGTGAATGCACTGTTGAGTGTGCAATGTTCAGGGGGATTTTTCGTGCACTTTTTTTTACTTGGGACGTACGTTGATTTTATGCTCATTCGATCCGCATGCATCTCAGCTGTGGGTTTATCGAAAAAAATCGAGAAACGATGACGATCGCCCGCTGAAATCCCCGCTTGAAATTTCGGTCATATATGACCTGTTGCAATTCTGGGTGTATCTTTTGTTGATCTCTTTCTTTCTGTTCCCAATCTCTTCTACTAGTTTGTACTGGGATGTTGAGGCAATGTAGTCATGTATACTGTAAGACATGTATATATAACGAGGAAGCAAATCTAACGTTTTAACGGATGACATTTCTTCGTTATGATAAGATCCGTTGAGGCCGTACTGCTTCATATATGCTGTGTGTGGATACGCCAGAATACTGCAAGATCGTTAACATATCTTCTCGTTAACCTTTGAATTTTGGACAATCGTTAAATTTGCGACTCGTTATAATAACATGTCTTGCAGTAAAAGGAGCCATGTTGTCGCACTAGCTGACTGTATATGATCTGTTTACATTGGTGGACAGTTAAGCTGTGTTCACAACTGGCGCGTGTACGCGTGAAACCACGCGTTTGTGCCTATTTTTGCTGGTTTTTGGTGCGTAACATGTTTGTCCTTCCTTTCTTCTACTGTTGGATCTAAAACTAAACTAATACAAGAAACACTGATATTCTAAAGCTAGCACTATTGGAGGCGTGATTACATGAGCAGCTAGCAGTGTGAATGCAAGTGTAGCTTGGAGAAATACAGGTGAGAAAGGTGCATGTATGTGAGTGGGTATGTGAGAAATGTTCCTTTCTCACCTGCATTTCTTCAATCTACACTTGCATTCACACTGCTCGCTGCTCATGTAATCACGCCTCAAATAGTGCTAGCTTTAGAATTTCAGTGTTTCTTGTATTAGTTTTAGATCTAATAATGCTCACCTTAAATATCTTTCCTTTCTTCTACTAGTCTTTCTTGTTTTGTTTAAAAAAGGAAGCTTGGTCTGCTATGCTTGTCCTCTGCTCAGGGCAACCATTCAGAAGCTGCACGAGACGATCCACTGTGCGTCTGCCAACAACTACTATCACGGAGGCCTGTCTCACACGTGGACGTCCTACTACCAGTCTCGACTCACCAGCGATCAGCGCACTCTACGTGACTGGTGAGTTCACATCTTACAGTTAATGTAATTTCACAAATTTCCGGTGTACTTTTATTTTCGGTACTTTCGGTGCATGTGTTTCATACCTAAAATTTCAATACACCGAACAAACACTCACATACATAATCCATTAGGGAACTGCTTCTCTAAATTTCTGTTCACCTAACCTGGCCTTCCGGCTCACAGCAAGCCTTGTAGTGCATACTATTCTCGGTTCACGCAGCCTCTATTCTTTGCACATATCTTCTCTCATAAATTCTTGATGACTTGTTATCCGTGGCAGAACTAGCTTTGAAGTTGCTGGCTGACTTTCCATCTCCAACAACAGTGTCCAGAAAGTACCTCAGCATGGTTTTCACTGCGAAATCCACGCAGAGGAAGCGACAGGATGCAGTGTCTTTACGAGACGAAGAGTCAGATTCTGTAATGAATACGGCACTGGTAGTGTGATGTGAGCAATGACCCTGAGCGAGTACTACAAGACAAAGGAGAAACATTGCTTTCCTGCTGTTCCCTCATTACATGCGCGATAGTTTCTTTACTTTCTCTCCTCCGAAAGCTCGTCCTTCTTGCTGATGTCTTCAGTGTGTTCCGCTCACAGTTATCACGTAGATTGTTACATGTCCAATGTCCGGACACGCGGATTACTGGATACCGACATCGCCTTGGTTGACACTCGATATCAGGACTTCACCTGAACCAACCGGACCAAACGCCACGTCCTTGTTCTAAGTGCAGCGACTGAAATACCGTAAAATTCCGTAAATAAGCCCACCCTAAATAACGCCCATGTCCGATAATAAGCCCAGTTTTAGGCAGTGTACATTTCAAGTCCGTTTTAGCGCCCATGCCCGAAATAAGCCCAGGGCGTAAAGTGGACTCAAAATGACCAGCCGTTTTCAGCCATGCCGGTACCTGTTGTGCCTTGTACTTACCATAGCAAGTGGTTTATTTTTTTAGCAAGTGGTTTACCTATCAAATCTGTAATTTATCGCTACATTCTTGGTTACGACCAAATTTCCAACTGTGGTTTGATGTACCTGTACCGCGCTCAGTGTGAATGGTGGTTCACTGAAACTAGTGGGTTGCTGATAGATTGATCTTCTGCAGATTGCGTCCGAAATAACGCCCATGCCCTAAAATAAGCCCATGCTCGAATATACGCCCGGTTTTTGACGCTCTGCAAAGTATACGCCCGGGGCTTATTAACGGAATTTTACGGTAGCCGCAAGATGATTCGACTAAAATAGTCGCTGTTCAATGCTGATCCAGTGCCCCAGCAGTCACGTTCTAGAGCAGGGGAAACCCACTGGCCGTTTTGGATGAATATCGTATTTCCCCGAATATAAGTCGCACCTTTTTAAGGACGAAAAGGGGATGCGACTTGCAATCGACCATGGCATACTAGTGAAGTGAATATATCGAAACAATATGGCTCAAACCTGAAGAAGGGGGTGCGACTTTTATTGAGTGTGACTTCTAATCGAGGAAATACGGTACATGCCACTTCATCGTGAAAATGCCGACAGCTAGACCAAACTGGAATACTGTGCTCCCTTTATAATTCCGGTACCCTTTGTGCTACGGAAATTCTGCTGGATTGGGGAGGGTGCTGGATTAACAGATCTGGTTTACTGCTGCATGTGCATGAAGAGGACATTTTGGTTACTGAAAATATGCTGGTTTATAAAGTGCTGGATTAAAGAGGGACGACTGTACCCTTTTCTGCCCCTATCCATCTTTACCGGGGGGTTGTGTTCTGCAGAGAGTTGACCTAAAGCGACGATTGAAAGGCTGAGATGCAAAACACACGATATGCGCCCCGAGAAAATCAGATTTCAGCTCAGTGCAATCAAAAGGTCTAGGGGCACCACCAGCCAAAATTTCACATGCAAAATCTCACCAGAACCATTTCAAAAGCTGGAAACTAAATTTGGATTTAGAAACTATTACTAGCCGCACATGAAATGAATCCTTTTTGGCCATTTATCCGAAAAGTGATGAAATGGATTTATCTGGTTTTGCATTCCAGCTCTTCAATTGGTGTTTTCATCAGGTACTTTCCCAAACTTGTGAAGAAGAAATAATCGACGGGTTCGCGTACCGGGCAGGTCAAGAACAAGGAGTCGTACAACTCCCTGGTCAAGAACCACCTTTCCGCTTCCGTGGGACGCCACCACCCCATGATCAGGCGTCAGATGCGGACTTGTGAAGAGCGCGATAAAAATGAGTTTACGAAGATGAGTTTCCGGTACATACGCCAGGCTTTTGCATTGAATGCCTGTTGCTCTCTCTGTCTCTCTCTCCCTCTCTCTCTCTCTCTCTCTCTCTCTGTCTGTCTCTCTCTCTGTCTCTCTCACTCTCTCTCTCTCACTCTCTCTGCTGTGGCTCACAGGGCGTTCACGGAGGATTCCACAACACGTCCTGATTCGCCAGGAATGTCAAGAACAAGGTAGGAGGAAATCGAATGTATCTTACTCCCCCTCCTCTCTCTCTCTCTCTCTTCCTCTTTCTCTCTCTCTGCGTGACCAATAGCAAGAGTAGATAACTCCCAAGAGTGTCCAAGTGCTTGTACTTTCTCTATCCAATGCTGCGACTGTCAAGTTTTGTATCACAGAACACAGTTCAAATGGTTATGCTGGCACACTGTGCAAAGTGACTACTGAATGCCGAAATTTGGAACCTTTTTAAAAATTTTGTTCCTATGAGAATGAGCCAGGCTGACTTTTCCCAAAGAAAGTGTGCCCAAGTGCTATTCACTGGCTTGAAAATATTATAACTCCACGAGCTGTGTGCTGTACTAAAATGTCACCAGACTTCCGGAAGTTCCTTGCGTTGTTCTAGTGTAGTATGGCTTGTTGCTTCATTTCCGTTCGCTCTGGCAACGGGCTGTCAGTAATCTATTGTGTGCTATGAATTCTTCCAATGAGCCCGTTGCGCAATGACGTAATCTGTACCATACGTACCCCACACAGCCACCTGGGCATGGTCGTCTGGGGTATTGAACAGTGCATTCCTGATCCCAGCGTACTCACATGCATTACTCATACCTCCCATATTTGGCAATGCACAATGGGCTTGTACGTGCATGGCTGCAGTGATCGTGAGGACCCACTCAAGATCCGCATCGTCAACACGTTGCGTGCGGTCATGCAGACGGTCGACTTGGAATGTGCCACTAGCAAGGAGGTGAGTGAGCCGGCTGCCCGCACTGTCTCTCACTGCACTGCGGCCCTGGTCAACTGTGTTTTCACTCAGCTTTCACTCACTGTGACTCGGTACTGGTGTGCCTCTCTAGGCTTGTCAAGTGTATACAGTGGAGCGTATGTAGTATGTACAGTCAACTTTGCGTATAACAACACTCGTCCGGGCATCAGAAAAGTGTCCTTATTCGCGAAGTGTCGTTATATGCACACAGGTAGAATGGACTTTGCTCTGGGCATGGAAATTCTGTCGTTATTCGCGAATTGTCGTTATATCCGCTGTCGTTATTAGCGAATTGTCGTGATATCCGCAGTCGTTATTAACGAAGTTGACTGTACGCTGATAAGAATTAAAACCGTGGAGCCTTGTTCCACACGGGTCTACATGTAGTTCGTATCACAGCTGTGCTAGACACATTCTTGTGAACATGAGCAGTGTATATTCTGTACTGCCACGTGTATGCGTGAGATGTTTGTCGGAGCACGTTTCCGCAATGCTGTCTGTCTGAGGTGTCATGTTGCCCTGAACGTTGACGCACGGCTTCTTATTGTCGTTGTTTGTCTCTCCATCATCCTTAAAAACTCATTATCTCTCTCTCTCTCTCTCTCTCTCTCTCTCTCTGTTTCTGCGTCTGTGTTGTCTCTCCCCCCCCCCCCCCCTTTCATTTTGCAGATTCGTAACCTGTGCGAAGAGAAGCTGAAACTTGACCTGAAGGACTATCGTGGCTTCATTGATCAGCAGACGTTATCAATCTTTGGGCAAATGGAGCTGTCATCAGAGATTTTTGATTTCCTCTACTTGGTAAGCACTGACAACAGTCTGACATGCATGCCTGCACCTGCCATGTTCAGGCTGTATGTGTGCAATAGAACGCCAACCGAGGCAGAGCGTGGCAGTTTTCAGGCTGCTTTGTTAGAGGTCATGTGACATGAAGTAGTGCAGATCGCTGATGTTGTTTGCCATTGCTTCTCTTGGTTATATTGATGGTATGCAGGGCTCAGAGTGGAATGCAAGCAATTTCAAGGAGATGCAGGAGAAAGGGTAAGATTGTTGCTTCATTCGTTTTGTGTGTGCGGGCAAGAGAGAGAGAGAGAGAGAGAGAGAGAGAGAGAGAGAGAGAGGGAGAGGCGCAGGCCTCAAACGCAATGAGCTTACCCTGGGCAATTAGACACCCTTAGCAAACAACGGTAACACTATTTTTTACGGTACTCGTACCTTGATTACCCAAATAGCATTGAAGCTGCAGCGTAAAAACCTTATTGGGGCTGATTTATCGTTGTGACCAACGGTACATTTTTTGGCCAAATATTGCATAGTCCGTACGCATTTCACCTTGTATCGCGTATATGGTGACATAAATGGTTGTACCGCGTGAAGTACTTGGTCCGCGTCAGCAATATTGTCGCTTATCTTTCGACAATTTGAACTTAGACTTTGGACATGAACGCGTGCACTTGAAGTGATAAAACTTGGCACGATGGACGGTAAGGTATAGAATGACAACTACCTGCGAGGAATTTATTGTCTAAGGAAGGGTTCCTACTTTTTCGGTCCTCCTCGTCGCTGCTCTCGGCGCTGGCGACAAATATTTTTTGCTCGGGATCGACTCTCTTGCTTTTGCAAGCTCATCTCTCTTCCTTTCCGCTGCCTGGCTATTTTCTAAAGAGAAGTCGATCGCGACGGTCGCCTTCTCTACAGGACTTCGCGCGGGCAGCACACGGCTGTTTTTTTGTGCGATTTCACGCCACTCAACAATATGGCCGCCGAAAGTCTCGATTGGGCTTCAATGGCAAGAAAATTTGAATTTTCAAATCGTCAGAACACGAGTAGGCCATGGTTTCCCCTGGATATTGGAGACAAGTCAGCCCGGACAGCCCGGGGAACACGCTGATCATCTGCGTCTTGTTTCAAGCTTTCCGCTCGTACCTCACATGACTGCCTTTCCTTCAAGAAACATTTGTTCTGTGTCGTGCGACTTTGGCTTCGTTCTGGAATACACCTTGTGTCGTCGCTGACAAACTCGGCTCCGAGAAGCCCTTCCCGATTTTTTCCCAGCTTAGATCGATTTTTTCCCAGGTAGAGGACTATCCTCTGGTTGTCTTCCCCAAGTGTCATTAGAATACGCGCGTGAACTTCTAAATACGCGCGACGAGTCAGGAGCCTGTTTTCTCTTGATTTGGAAGACAAAATGGTGTGGCCCTTTAGTTGCTGTTGAGTGTAGAAGGCTGCTTCCTGCTGTAAATTGCTTAGTCGGCATGTGGGATATTATAGAAGAAGACAGCAGCCGGCCAAGTGAGCTTGAAATTGTGATATCTACCCTATTGTGCGTTGAACGATTACGAAATGTCTAACTTGAATGTTGTACACGCGAGCACGGCAAGCAGAGGCTGACAATCACTGGCGAGATCAATCTCCAGACTGCCAGGAGTACTTCGAGCAAGTTTGAAGCGGAAAGACAGCTAACTGGGCAGGCCAGGACGCCTTTCCACCCTCTTTCTCTCTCAAATTGCCGAAAAGTCGAGTATCTCGCTCGAGCGCTTTCAAAACTTTTCTCTTGGTTTCGCGTCCCAAATCGTGGAACCACGCGAGGATCGACATGAGTTTCTTGCAAAAACGTAAACTCATCGCGTATTTGTACTATTCGCACAATGTTACATAAATCGCACCGAACGACGCCATATTGATAAGTGCCTGCACGTGAACAGCCGTGAGCACGACAGCCTGTGTGGTTAAATCAGACGCCGTTCTTTGCAAGATTGTATTTTGAACGACGACGATGCGCACAGTACTTGCAAATCTCCACGACGCGCTGGATACTCCGAGCGTTGAGCTGGAGGTAAGGGAGCTGCGATCTCAGCTTGATGAGCGATCCCTGAGGTGAGCGATCTCGGCCGTTCAGCAAAATGGAGCAGATTCCGAGTAGCCGATTACTTTCTTGTGGCTTGCGCTGCTCTTGCCTGCACAGCGTAAAAAGAAAATCTATTTTGATGCGGCGCTGTGTCAATCGGAATCACCCACCTGTCGCTCTCGAAATCCACTCGAACTCTAGCTAGACCTTTCAGGATAACCAAAATTGGGATGAAATGGGCTGCCAAGTAAGCATTGGCGACATATAAACAAAGCTGAAAGATAAGCGACAATATCGCTGACGCGGACCAAGTAAAAGCTATTCTCGTGGCAACAGCGTACTGAAAATAGCGTGCATCTTGCTAAAGGTCGAGCCGAAATCACGGTATTTTCCCCCTCACGGTAATACTGTTACAACATAACGTTGTTTGCTAAGGGTGTCTAGGAATGTGTAATACCTGTATTTTCTAATTGCTCGTGCCCATTTCACCTCATTCAAAAGGCTTTGTGTTTTTCGTCGTTACTCAAACTTTGTTGTAGCCAATCTTTCTAACTCGCTGTTGTTTGTTTGTTTGTATCAGGATCGGCTATGTTCTAAACGTTACATGTGAGATTGACAATTTCTTTCCGGACTCGTTTCACTATTACAACATTCGTGTGTGGGATACATCGGAAACTGATCTTCTCAAGCACTGGGATGACACCTATCAGTTCATCAAGAAAGCACAGTGAGTACTTTTATGCCTGTAAGCCCAGCCTGGGGCTCGGGGGCTTGTAGCCATGTGTATGTATGTGTATTAGTGGTGAAACGAATATACCAAATATTCGAATGTTCGTTCGGTTTGTCACATTCGAACGAATATTTCTCATGGCGAATATTCGCTAACCGGGTATGCAGAGTTTACCGGGCGACTTCAAACTTCCGTAACTTCGCGGATACTTGACCGAACCGCTTCATCGAAAGTTCCATCGGCATTAGACAACTCTCAGCTGTCGTCTCGAACCAACCCGGACGCGATCCGAGGTCCTGGAATGGAGCTATGGCGGTCGAACGAAAAATCACGTCTTGAGCTGTTTTTTGAGCGTGTAAAATGCACTTCAGCTGGGGATTTTGTGAAAATTGACCTAGAAGTGGTGGAGAAATATGTGCCTTCGTTTGTCATGCCTAATAATAGTCACAATATCCAATAAAATGACTGAGAGGAGGACGTGTGATGTCATCCATGTTAATGAAAGAATATTCGTTCGTTAAGCCAAAGAATATTCGGCTACTGGGTTTTGATATTCGTTTCACCACTGATGTGTATGTGTGGTACACACATCTAGAAATTCAAGTCAGCATTCTCTCTTGTCCGTCTGTCCCTCTTTCTTTCTGCCCCCCCCCCCCCCCTCTCTTTCTTTCTGTCTCTCACGTCAGCATTCTCTCTTCCTGTCTGTCTGTCCCTCTCTCTTTCTGTGTGTGTGTGTGTGTGTCTCTATCTCTCTCTCTCTTTCTTTCTTTCTTGTGCGCTGCTGACTTCTTGCATGGTTGTGGGTGTGTGGTTGCCACAGGGCAAACAACTCAAAGGTGTTGGTACACTGCAAGATGGGAGTGAGTCGCTCAGCCTCAACAGTGAGTACCACACTGCTTTCAATATGGCGCTTGTATTAATACTACTTGGTCCGGCTCATCGCAATTGTCGCTTATCTATCGCCACTAAGAACAGGAGTTTTTTTTACCGCTCTGTGAAATTTCCAGTAGGCATAGTGAGGAAGCATGATACAAGAATACTCTCCGCCACAAGAAAAAATTTCAGCAATGGAATCAGGTGAAGCGAGTCGAAGAAAGGAAGCAAGGTAAGCAAAATGCACGAAATAAATCCGCGAAGGAGCGCGTTCTTGCACTCACACTCTTACAGGTCCAGAGTTCATTCAACTCTGCATCACTGGAGCTGCCATTTGCTGGTGTCTAGCTGCTGGCGTAGACGGAGTATCTCTTGCTTTCTCACTCAGGCTGTCGTATGGCAGCAACGGGAAAGGAACAGCTGTGGCTGTCAATTCGGTGCTTGAAGGAACCGTGGGCAGTGTGACCTGTGTGTCTCCACAGCGTGTTTCAACAAACCAGGCATACGGCCTACTACTAGTGCTAGGTCCACCAAGCAAGGAACAACAACCGTCGGCCGGGCGCATCGCATCAAAAACACCTTTCTTCTTCAGCATGACGCTCATGCGACTCGTACTCCTCTGCCGTGCACGCGCGTGCCTGTCACGCTCTCCAGGATGTCAGTTGCCCCTGCCACAGTTCCGGTCTTCGGGTCGCTGCGCGCTTGGCTTTTGGCAACACAGACAGTGAATGGCCAGATTCCCACTTCCCAAAAAAGTCGAACACATCGCGATTCAAAGTGCTAGTCGCGATCATTTTTCTTTGGTGCCTCCTTTGATCTTGCCATCACAACCTCCCAAGCAAAAGTAAGTTAGATGTCGTGATCGGACTGGGTTTTACCTGTCAAAAGGTGCGTGGGAGATAAGCGACAATTGCGATGAGCCGGACCAAGTAGGACTGTATTGTCTAGCTTACCCTTAGGTTTTCTCTATCTCCATGATCTACCTCTCTTTTTATTCCTCTTTCCGCTCTCTCTCTCTCTCTCTCTCTCTCTCTCTCTCTCTCTCCCGCTCTCTCTCTCTCTCTCTCTCTCTCTCTCTCTCTCTCTCTCTCTCTCTCTCTCTCTCCCTCTCTCTCTCTCCTCTCGCTTTCACACACACACACACACGCGCACTCCTGAATTCTGTTGTAGTAGCTGTATGTATTGTACAAATTGTTCTTTTATTTAAAATCCACTCCCACACAACCCAGTCTGACAGCAGCTGGTTTCCCCTACCAGTAGGGCGCATCGGCCCAGTTGGGAGAACCCCAGGATCGTCTTTCATCATCCCTATGCAAGAGAGTGTCTTTGCATGTTATTCCATGCGATGCCGTGTGCTCGCTTACTAGTACATTCTATGAGCGATTTTTTTGTTTTTTTTGTGTGCTGATGTGTCTGCACTTTGCTGTGTGCTGACGTGTGTAGGTGATAGCGTTTGCCATGAAGGAATACAAGTGGCAGCTGAAGGAGGCACTGGACTATGTGCGAAAGCGTCGTGAGTGCGTCAACCCCAACTGTGGCTTCATACAGCAGCTGAGACAGTATGAAGGCATTCTTGGTGCTAGGTAAGTGGCCAGGCTAGGCTGTGCTGCATGTTTGCCTGCGTGTTTGTGCACGCATGGCGTAGCTCAAACATCAGTGCTGTGGTGACAATGTGTTTGTGCACGTAGGGCATGGCTCCCACATCTGTGCTGTGGTGACAATGTACCAGAGCATGTCCGTGCTGTGGTGACCGCGTATCACCTGCAACCTCACAGCTGTTATTTTGCCTACTTTGCCTATGTAGTTCGTATGACAGCTATCTTCTGGTGTGCTGACCGGACTCCGCTGGCTATACACGGGCTACGCGCCGCCTGTTGTGGCTTTCCCACTGTTCTCCCAGTAGAGTTTCTGTCAGACAGTCGAAACCCAAACCTCCGTTTCTCATTTTTAGTAGCTTTGCTGTGTTGGGCCGACTGCTGTGATTATGGTTGGTGCAGGTGCTTATGTTGATGTACTATTCAATTGTGTTGTTGATAGTCTTGTTAGTACGCTACCAATGTTGTGATGGCATAGCACAGCATTGTTGTCCATTGTACAGTGTGAGAATTTGTATAGAGAAGCTTTGATAGGTCATGTTGTGCCAGCTGTGTGTGCTCTACATAACTAATACGCATAAACCAGAAGGGTTCCGGGCTGTCCAAAACAGTGCTCAATGCCTAAAGGGCAGAGCTACTTACAAGAAGTAGAGGATGAAACGGTTAGTTGTAACTCGTGAGTTTCACGCACCAGGTGTTGTCGGATGTTCGCCTCGTGCGTGAAACTCAGTTACAACTAACCTTTTCATCGTCTACTTCTTGTAACCAATACACAGCCATGTATTATGTACTGCTAGTATTTTAAGAGTAAGCTTGGTGTTGTGTGTTGTGTTGTGTTACTGTGTTGGTCAGGCACAACCCTGTATGGGGAGAGAAGGCCACACTGCGCAAGCGCGTCACCGAGATCCCGGGACCGTCACCACCGGCCTCTTGCCGCGTGAGCTCCGCCAGCGAGGACCTAATGGTGGACATTCCCGGAATGGGCAGTTGTCATGATGCCGATGCAGACGATGATGATGACGATGTTGCTGCTGCGGCAGGAGCAGACGGTAGCAAAGCGTTTGTCCGCACGTCATCCGTCTCTCGCCTGCGCCTCAGCTCTCAGCGACCAAAGTCCTGGGCAGGCACCAAGCGCGAAGAGGAGCTCATGAAGGAGCAGAACATCAGCCTCTACTTTAAGAGCTTGATGAGCGAGCAGCAGCAGGTTCCGGATGAGCTGGCTACGTGTGCAGTGGAGGTGAGGGGTGCAGCAGCGGCGGCAGCCACGTCTAAGCGACATCACCTGACCACGGGCACATGCCCAGTGAGCCATGCCGACTCCACGTCAGCATCTGCTGCCACTGCCAGAGCAACTTCGCCGGCCGGTGCAGAGTTTGCGCCAGGCCATCGGCGTGCGAGCAGTGCCAAGTCCTGGGACCCGACTGCAGCGTTCAGTCGCCATGGCGCTGGCCAAACGGCTGGCACTGGTGGCATGACAACAAGCCTGTCGTCGTCCTCGGCGCTTGGAATGACTGCTACTGCTGCTGCTGCTGCTGCTGGTGGTGACGGCAGTAGCTGTACCCTAGCGACAACTAGTACTCGGCCACACTCACAACAGCTGTTAGCCACTTCAGCCACAGCGCCAGCAGCAGCATCGGCAGCAGGACCGCATAGTCCCATTGAGGACAGTAGCCACACGCCGGTTGCCGATCGGCAGCCCAGCGCACAGCAGATCGAGAGTGAGCTTGGCTCTCGCCTACGCCAGGAGTTACCGGCGGATCGGCTAGACACACTGTCACAGCGTACAACCAGCGTGGGTAGCGAATGCAGCTCGTCGCCTGGAGACGTGCCGGCGGATGTTGAGATGGCTGCTCATGCTGGTAACAGCGATACTAGATCTGAATCACCGACATTAACTGCAGATCGTGTTCGCCAGCAGGTTGCCAGCTTTGAGTCGCGTACGTCTTCTGATGATGTGACACCGACGCAGCGACGCCTTAGCTCCTCGGCTGATACGGTGCAGCAGGCTGGACAAGTAACACCTGCGGGTCTGCGTACGATATCACCCACCGCATCTCCAGCCCGTGTTGCCAACTCTGGCGCTGCTTCATCTGGCCCCGTTTCACCGACCCCTCCACAGGCAATGTCACCCACGCCGCCTGCAACAACAGCATCGGCTTTGGCGACGACAGCAACGCCGCCATTACCTGGAACACCCGTCAAGGATGACACCACGTCGTCTGTAACCGTAGTGGAAACGCCCAACATTGGCCCCGTGCGTCGTGTACGTGTGGAGGAGCGACCGCAGATCAGCAGTGTTCACCATCGCGTGCAGTCTATTGAGAGATTCAAGATCTTCACACCGCAGGAAACTCGCCAAGTGAGTCATACCGCGGCCACTGACAAGTCCGACCCAGCCACATCATCTACAGATCCTGCTGCGGCGGCTGCTGTGGACGATGTCGCTGCCGCCTACGACGAGTCATATGTTGCTGTTGCACAGACCATCGCCATGTCCACGGAGGCACAGTCAACCGTGGACACTGTGCCGAATATCGAGCGCGCCGCCTCGCCATTGCTACCTCCTAACTGTCGCTCGTCTTCCTCGTCCTTATCATCACAGGAGAGAACTGAGCAGTGCTCTTCCGGGCATGTTCAAGAGAGCCATCAACAGCAGGAGAGTGAGTCACTGTCTCCAAGTGAAGACCTACCCAACAACACTACTGAACAACCGTTGAATCATCCTGAATCACCGCCACAGCAGCAGCAGCGGCAACAACACGGCGGAGGGGAGCGTCCGTCCACGCCAACGGAATGTCCTGTAGGTGTCGCGGAAGCAGGGTCAAGCTGTGAAGCTCCGCCGCCACAACCACCACCAGCATCATCATCACCAGAACGAGACAACACGAGGACTACTGCTGTACCGACTCCTAGCTGCAGTGACACTAGTGGCAGTAGTGGCAGTGGCAGCAGCAACACGACAAGCTCTGCTAGCACTGGCACGGCAGTGTCGAGCACAGCTGACAAACCGACCTTTTCATTTGCAGGATTCCACGCAGACACAAGCACAGCAGCGGCAGCAGCAACAGAAAAGGCACACACTGCGGGTGGTAAGCAGTCTCCGAGAATGCGCTCATCGGGCTCATCACGGACTGCTGGTTCTCGCTCAATGTCTGTTAGTAGTGGCGGCGGTAACAGTGGAAGACGAGCGCGTGCTCCGTACTCCTGGCTGAATAAGAGAGGGGAGTCCAGTCCGTCACACTCACCACCGTTGCGTCGTGGAGACCATCACTCGTCCGGGTCACCGTCGTCATCGATTATGGCATCGCGGAGCAGTCCGCAGCTGAACCGCGGCTCTCGCTTCACGTTCCTCAGCCCTCGCTCGCAGCGTCGCTCCATCATGTCGTCGTCTCCAAGTGAGGAGAACTTTGTCACGTACATTCCCACGCGGCGCAACACTGGCGGTGCGGATATGAAGCAGACGCAGCACTTCCAGTCGCTTCTCGACCGCTTCAAGGAGATGTCCAAGCCGAAGATGAAGTCACCAGTGTCTGAAGCAGAAGCAGCGACGACGGCAGCAGATGATGCTGACTGTGCATTTCCTAGCAGTGGCTCACCAGGACTAGTGTCACCTGCCAGCACAATACCGATCCCTATAGACACTTCTGTAGGCTCTCGCCAACAAGCACAGCAACAGCAGGCGCAGTCAGTACCCACTGTGTTGGAGGCATAAGGTATAACAGCACACACAGTCAGTACTAGCATCCACTGTGTTGGAGGCACAGAGTGACAGCACACACGGTCAGTACTAGCATCCACTGTGTTGGAGGCACAGAGTGACAGCACACACGGTCAGTACCCACTGTATTGGAGGCGTAGGGTGGACTAGCTGCCTGGTGCTGGTGCTGGCACAGTGAAGTCATCACATTGCTGGTCTACAACGTTCACTCGCTGGCCTGCTCATACTAGTACTGCAGCAACAGTAGTAGTTGTTGTTGTTGTAGACCAAGCACACGCTATTGCAGCACTCTCGTGCTCTTCTCCTGTACACCGTGTGTATATACTCCACAATCACTCTCCAGAATTGAGCTTGATATATTGGTGGCCTATGGGCGGTGCGCAGCCCACCAACCCAAGCACCACCATCACCGTCTCCCCGACTTGCATGTGCATTTCACACACCGGAGCTAGCCAGACACATACATATTTATACTCAAGACAATCACCCAAAGACCCATCTCCGGATTGCCCTCTCTTCTCTTTCTTGATCCTTGCCCAATTTGTACCACTACTTGACTAACATCGCAACTTTATCAAATGGGCTGGCCCTTATCATATAATTGTTTCATGTTATGTTCTCGCATCTTTTTCTTCTTTGGAACTTTTAGTTGATGTGATCTTTGTGCATTGCGGAATTGCCGGTCTCACCCGGGCTGTGTGCTCATCTGTAATGGTGCGGCTGATGCTCAGCGCTTCTTCGTGCTAGCGTGTGTGTGTGTGTGTCCGTGGGTGTGTGTGTCCGTGTGTGTGTGTGTGTGTGTGTGCCACTTGAAATTTTTCACTGGTCTCTGCCCGGTGCTTCGATTGGAATAGCTGTCTTCTATGTACTTTTTTCTTTTCGTCCTTTTTAAAACAGTTTTCTAGACGTTTTAGTGTGATCAGTGATCATCATCACCCTACCTATCACCCTCCTGCTCATCACCACCCTCATCATATTCTGACCAGTATTTATAGCACTGTGGAAGGTGGTACGTGCCCGCCTGCTATTTCATTTACCTCTGCCTAGTTTTTTAGCCGATGCTGTGTGTGTGTGTGTGCGCGTGCATATGTTTCTCATGTTACTGTTTTTGAAGTATTTTTACTGGCCATTATTCGCTTGACATTGTAGGGTATCTTTTTTTCCCACTTTGTTCTCGTAACCGCATGTACATGTTGTGCTCTTGTTCTACCAAGCGCTTTTTTATCAATGTATTTTTTTAACAAATGCGCCGGTATGGTGTACCACAAGCATAGCTTAGATCACTGCCGGCTGCGGCTGCTCGTGGCCCTACAAGCTGTGTTGTCCCCACCACCGGCGTCCCTCTTGCCCACAGAGCTAGAGCCTCATTATTTATTTTTTGAAACTCTTTTCCAGAGTAGGCGGCTGGCTGGACACTTATTCATGTTTATTATTTCGAGCCTTGTTGTAGTCAGGGTTTTTATAGTGGTCCACCCATTGTCTCTTTTTCTTATATCCTTGTCGATATTTATTGTTGCGTTCTGTTCTGTCTTTGGCGTGCTCTGTATAAAAAGACAGCAGTTGAAATATTAATATTCCATTGAAATCTTCCGTTGTGTGTGTTGGTGGTGGTGGTGTGTGTGTGTGTGTGTGTGTGTGTGTGTGTGTGTGTGTGTGCGTTGGTGTGTGTGTGTTGGTGTGTGTGTGTGTGCGTGTGTGTGTGGCTAAAAATAGTGGCGGTCAATTCATCAGCCTTGCAAGCTGTTGAATTGTGTAATCCCAGCACAATTTGCTATGTCTAACATAGCTGTTCGCTATCCTCGCTTCCGCGATGGGCATGTCTGAGGTGTGTGTGTGTACACAAGTTGCTATGTCTAACATAGCTGTTTACCATCATCGCGTCACACACACTCTGAGTCTGAGTGTGTGTGTGTGTGTGTGTGTGTGTGTGTGTGCACTGTCTTGGTTGGTGGTATATTTCGATGTAGTCTACTCCGTTTGGTGTAACGCTAAACCAGGTGTGCATTGGGGGGTTAATTCACATGGCTTCGCCTATTACGTAAAATGTGGATTGGACAGCTGCCTAGCACAAGTCTTCGTCAGTCAGATTTGCTATGCTACCAGTGCTGTACATATCGTTACGTGTGCATTTACCAGTGTTAGGTGTGTACATCCAGTGCACTTGCCGATTTGCGTGGTTCTCGTGCGACAGGCATACAGCACGGTGTGTACCGCAGAGAGTCCTCAAATACCAGTATTGACGACTCCTTGGTGAAGCGTATTTTCGGGTTATCAATCGATCTTCGACCTAAAATCCAAATGAAAAAAGGGACAGTCCCAAGTGGATTGTATCGGGGTCGTGTAAAAAATGATAATGGTATGTGCTGTGCGAGTAGATGAGATGCCGCATGCATGCATTTTGTGTATGCAGCATGTGGCAAAAAGCCCAGTTGACTTTAGTTGAACCAAGAGTTCATAGGTTATGTACTCTCCACGTGTCTTGCTTCACCTTTTAATTAAAGGCTTTTATCTCCCATCGCCATATGAATCGGTACAGCCACATATGGCTGATGATAGGAATGGCTAATGCCCTAAAAGGAGGGAAATCCAACACAACACATGTGCAGAGAGAGAGAGAGAGAGAGAGAGAGAGAGAGAGAGAGAGAGAGAGAGAGAGAGAGAGAGAGAGAGAGAGAGAGAGAGAGACTGGGCTACACACACACACACACAGCCACACACAGAGTAGTGATGTTTGCAAGCAAGGTAACAGTAAAGTAAATGTATGTCATTACACAGTCCAGCAGTCGAGCATAGAAAAATATAGCTTGGAAAATCTAAGAAAAAAATATCTTAGAGGATATCAGTGAAGAGCCATTAGAACAGGAGAAGGAATTTAAAAGTACTGATGCTAGCGAAGAATTTTTGTTTCGTATGTTATGTTGAATGGAGGGGGGGGGGGGGGCAGAGGAGAGGGGTCAGGGTACTTTTAGATGCTTTGTTGTGAATTTGAAAATAAGATTTATTCAAGCAATTAGAATCTTGACGCATGAAACTTTTAAGAATAAAAAGCAAAAATACCCGGAGCTGTAGATCAAGAGTGGATACCGCAGGTTGCGTGCACACAGTGTGTCTATGGACACACGTCGCGCCGCAACACAGCGGAAAAGCCTGGGTTAGGTTTTATAATACGTACCACATGTACATGCACACACACACACACACACACACACACACACACACACACACACACACACACACACACACACACACAACTATACAACCAGCGGCAGGCCAAACAAGCACAATAGAAAACTGTTATACAAAAGAACATAAAGAGAAAGCAGCCGGGTTATGAAAATATACAAAGCAACGTTATCACCTCCACGACATTCATGTCATTCCAGCAGTGTCAGCATTACTCGTCGACTACCTCGTCGTCATCGTCGACAACAGCATCTGCCTCCTCACCGAGGATCTCACCGACTGCCAGCGACTTCTGGAACTCGTCCTCCTCCTCCGCTATGCTGTTCTTTGCCTTACGTGTTACTTGGCTGCCCGCTCCGCCGCGCTGTCTCAGCATGGTGAGGCGAGAGCGTACCTTGGCCGACACAGCACTTGATGTACTGACTGGCGCACAGATGGTTACCTCGAGCTTCCCCTCCTCTTCACTCTCGCTCTCGTCTTCTTCCTCTTCCGATTCGTAGTCCGAGTCCCTGGTGATGGAGAATGCACGCACGTCTGTCAAGCCCAGCAACGGCTTCCACTGGGCGCCATGCTGGCACGTATCCATACGCGCCACCCTGCAAGATTGCAGGTGCTCGGCCATCGTTGGCTCATTGCTTGGTCGCCAGCAGTTGAGCGGCACCGACTGCGTGAAGGTGGAGAGCGTCCATTGCTGACGCTGCACACTCCAGCTCACCTCACCGCTGTCCTCATCTTCACTTCTCTGCCAGACGGGCACCACCATACCACGGTCTTGTATGGAGCAGGATACAAGCTGCCGCATGTGCTGGCATGTTTCAGCTAAACAGGTGAGCGAGATCGGGTCTAAGTAAGACGTGATGATCTGCAGTATGCCAGTTGGCAGTGTGGTAAGGTGGCGTGTGGGCACAGCATCTGTGGTCTGCACGACGCTCCGGACGCTGGTTGCCGGGACAACGGCCACGGCTCCCTTCACCACGTCTATGCGCCAGTTCTTCTGCGGCATCTGCAGCGTCTGTCTGATCTGCCGACAGCCAAACATGGCCAGTGGACAGCGCTCCAGCAGCTTGCCAGAGCTGAGCAACGAGTCAACACCAGCATGAACGAACGACTGATGCTCGGCAATCTCGTCGCGTCTGAAGACCTTCAAGCATTGACATTGGATAAATCCATCATCTGGGTAGATGTGCCGGGCGTTGTAGAAGTGGCACAACTCAAAGAACAGCTTGTTGCAAGCACTGAGCTGGTTCTCAATCAGTGTTGCACGCTCAGTGAACAGATGACTCTTGCTGAAGCGACTGTCATCCTCCTTCCAACGCTGCCGTAGTCCCATGGGTGAAGGCATGGCCATGATGGAGAACTCACTGCGAATACTCTCGTCCGGTGTCACTGTCTGTGTGCAGCTGGAACGGTGATATGGTGATTTCCACAGTGCATCGTCGCCGTCGACAACCACCGAGTCCTTGTGAGTCACGACCTCGAGGCTTAAACTTTCACCGAGCGGTGCGTGTTGTGACACCAGCTTGTGTTTGAGTACATTGCGTGCTGCTGGTGTGGTCACATCCTGTCCCTGTACGGCGTTAGAACGACTGAGGATCTTGCCCGAGAACACCTTGGCTATCTTACGCTTGCTGCTCTGCATGTGTGTGCGTAGCTTAGTTCCCATACTGGCCTGGAAAGCATCACCTTCACCGCCATAGCTAGCAGCAGATGAGACTGACACGGGTGCAGACTGATCAAGACTATTATCACGACTTCCCCTCAAACCTCCTAGCAATTTAGTGAGTTGCTTGTTGCGTGCTGGCTTACCACCGGCGATGCCACCCTTTGGCGATGATGACAGGATAGATGCTACAGAGCCGCTACTATCTCGCTTGCCGACTTGACCACTTAGAGACTTGTTGTCATCGCCGCTTTTCTCACCGTCCAGGCTTGTGTCCGGTGCTGGTACGGATGTAGTGGTTGCTTCAGCCTTACCACCACCACCACCACTACCGTTCTCACCTTGCCGAGTAGCAGCCTGTGCACTGGGTTTGGACGCGGTGGTTTTGGATGAGGCAGAGCCACTTCTAGAGCTAGTCGTTGCTGTGTTGTCACTGGTCTGTTGAGAAAGAATACTGGCACTTTGTCCATCACACCTGCTTTCAGCGCTGTCTGAGTTGCTCGTTTTCGCTGTACTGGAATTGTTTTCATAACATCCACTGTCAGCGTCATCACCTTCTGCGACGGTTTCCAGTAGCCTCTCACTCATGAAGCTGACATTGTCCGCCACGAAGCCATCATTTTGCTGAGCTTGGGTGTATTCCGCATCCAGATCAGGGCTGCCAGGCGCATCGCCCGCCACAAGTTGGGCTTCTTTCGTTAGCGCCGGGACAACTCTCACAGCACTGGGTGAGAAGCATGGCACGTCCAATGTCTCTAGACTCTCGCTCCTTGGGATGATGTCAGCGCCCGGACAAGCCAGCTGTGTTGGGCGGGGGTCAACTGAACAGGTTTGCAGTGCTTCGGCACCACCGACCTGTTGCTGGTCTCGAAGCGCCAACCTAAAGTCCAGCTGGGCAAGGGGCACAGGAGGGTCGGATACCAGTTCTCCAGGTTCCCTTTCAGCGCGGTTTCGTCTGAACCAGAGGTGCGAACAGCACACAACACTGGCAGGACAATGTCTCAAGTGGCTGGCTTGCTTCTGCCTATCAAAGCTGAAAGGGCAGCCATGCTGAGAATTGACGCAGGCTACTACCGCCCTGGAGCAGAGGGAGATGTGTTCTGCTTGCTTGCAGGAATGAAAGCGAGCTCCACAATTATTACTGCAGTCGACAACCAAACAATCGTGGGCGCCTGAAGAACAATTTTTATCGTAGCACGAATTGCAGTGTTCGTGTACTTCCGCCATGGAGATTGAACCAAGCCCGGACAGGAAAGGAAAAAGGGACAGGGACAGAAGAATACTGTTCGTCCTCGAAGCTGTAGCTAGCTGGAGAGAGCTGCAAAATGACTCGACTTGTTCAATAACCAAACTTCTATAGTTGGCAAAAGATCAATCTGACAGACTACAGACAAATACTAGTAGCTTGCCAGTACACAGATTCAGGAACAGAGACAAGAGTCGTCTGCGACCTTGGATATGGACATGGAGCCTCGGGTCAACCACCCGTATACGGTCTTCTTCTGGCATATATGGCAGCGCCTCTGTCAGGTACTCGTACCGATCCCTCGTTGCCCTCGCTGAATGCACCGGAGAAACTGAACTGGAAGTGGGATAGGTGAGTCCCGAGGCGCGCCGGCATGTGCGCTTGGCCGTAGGTGCAAGGGTGCATGTCTGTCAGTATGTTCGACCAACACAAGATTGCCAAGAAAGAGAGAGTCCATAACTCCAGCGGAAGCTAAAAAGACTGAGTCCATCTGGTA